AAAGTCGTTATGTGCTAACAGTCTTAGACTTAAAACAATTCTTGTCATTTCATCATTTTAAAATTTTTTTGTCCAGTAAATTGATTTTTTAATAATTCCTTAAACGACTGATTTTCCTTTCTATGCGATTCTCATGAGCTTAGGCTAAGCTTGTTGACTTCTATGCGTTTTTGTGTATGACTAATGAATATATTTATTCATAATGATTTGCTGCCTCACTCTCTCTTTTGCTTGCAGCCCCCTATTTCACTTTCTTTTATTTTATTGCCTCTCGTTTAAATATGGACTGCCGTTCTATGCGATTTTCATGATTTAAAATAAGTCTTTAAACAGTGGAACGAAGTCGTTCTACCTTTAACATATATATGATACTCTGCTTATTTGTACATACATATTTATTTTTTTATTTATATACCCGATTTAATATATAAAATTTGATCTTATTACACTTGATACAATTGCTTTGAACCATATTTAATCTTTAGCCAGTTGTTAAACAAGCTTGTATTTTGTAATTTCCACATTTTCTCTTAGCTGCTAGCGCTTACGTTTGACCATAACTTTATCAAGGTCCATGATGGATTAATTCATATGTATGTTACAGACAGAATGAAATTTCTTCAACCCCAAGTATGGGTAGTATATATATGTATACATATATGATCAGTTCGTCCCTTTATCTCACCGACATGAAATTTCCAATATTTTATGTCTTATATCATTCGCAGGAAAACTTTTCTTCCGTTACAAATCAAAGTCGACATTTTCAATGCTAAACCAAGGTTATACAAGCTAAAAAGGCGAAATAAAGGCTCTCATAGTATACACAGATTCTGAGTATATCAGCCGAAATATTGTTATTGTATTTATTTTCGCAGCTCGGATACGGGATATCTTCTAGTCGGGCACCCTCGACAAAAGCACGCTTTCTTGTTGCCGTTGCTCGACACGCTTCAGTTTCGGGGTAAATCACGCTTTATTGCATTTGAAAAGCGATTTGCTATGGCCAGTGAGTACCCGAGCGAAGTGAATACCTGTGAGGCACACAATAATAGTAAACATCTGTGCGTGTGTGTGTGTGTGTGTGTGTGTGTGGGTCTGAGCCTTTGTTTACAGATACGCGTGTATATATGTGCAAGTGTGCGTAGAATTGGACCACGGCGAGCGTGATAACCCCTGCTTAGATTCGGTCTTCTCTTGACTGAAAATGATTTTGACTTGTTAGAATTAAACATTTTCATAATAAATACCAAATAAATTATAATTTATTCGATAATTGTGAATGCCTTCAAGTCTTCTTTCGTTAATACTCAGTAAAACATTAAAGTAATTGTGTTTTGTTCGTCTGTTTTACCAATTACAATTAAAAGTTCATTTGCGAAAAGCTCTCTAATTAATAAGAAAACAAAAAAAGACCAACAACAAGATCGACCGTACAATAAACTAAAGCCCAAATAATTATAAAAAATTATACACTGTTTGAAGATTTTGTTGTTGTTGTTTTCTCTCGTTCATTGCTTTAGCTTTGTTTTTGCCTGTTGGGTTCATAAACCTTTCCGAGTGTTTAGCAATTATTATGATGAGTGTCGAAAAATTGAAGACAAAAGATTCACAGAAATGTTAGTAATGAATTGTATGATGAATGAAGTGAGTGATTCGAAAACTAATAAACTTATGAATTTACTGAAAATCAGAATCTGGAATGTACAGAAAAAAGGCTGAAGATTTTAGTTAAAATGCTGACTAACTTTTGACCGTAATTGCTTTATATATGAAAATTTAGCATTGTTGAAAAGTTTTTGTCTGTATATTTGAATATTGCTTCCTAGTAACTATGCTTTCTTCCCACATTCATTCGCTTGGTACAGATCCGAAGGTACTGATCGATTCCAGCGCTAAATAAAACAAATTTAAATTAGATAATGCTTGAAAATTCAAGTCGTACCGATTTGCTGGTTTAATTCGTACCAACATCGGGGTGAATTATTTTTTTATTTTTTTTTCTTTTTTTTTTTTATTTAGCAAATTAAATAGGCAAATATTTAAATAAATGATTGTTGCTGGATTGGAACCAGTGACTTTGTACTTGTCAGCTCGACGATGAGTCTTCTAAGCTTTTTACATTTGTCATACAAACTTTGACCATTCTTTTCCGCCCCTTGTGAGTTGAATATTCCGAAACTCCGTCTTAGTGCTCACAAAATGTTAAAACTCAATGTTGTTGCTGGATTTGAACCAGCGACATTCTACTTTCTGACACCTAACACTTAGGCTGTGCGCTAATTAGTCAGACAGTACTTTACGACAAACTATTTTATTATACTAATTGACTAAAAACTGAATTTTTCATAAACTGCATTTGGGTGACTAACATATGTGTGGAAAAATTTTGATCCATATACAAATTCCTTTGATAAGCTCTTTCGAATTAAAAATGCAAGCTCAAGTCAATACTAAGGAAAATTGTATATCCACCTAGTCGAATACTGAGCTTCAAATCTATGCTGTAGGAAATTAATTATAACATATTGCTTAAATTTATTTATCCGCACGTGTGGAAAATGGTTACATAACTGATTCAAAATACTGTCGAGGAATAAAAGTTCGTACACATATTGATAAAAATGTTGGAAGCGTATATATTTCCCTTATGAATGCATCAATATTTGGAACTTTAAGAACTCGGCTTGTAATGTTTAATTCCACATATCGATAAATTATATTTATATTTGGAAGTGTCACATACGCTTATAAATAAATAACATTTATAAATAACATTTGTATACATTTATACGCATTAGTTGAATGTGTCATCTATTTATTTCATATTATTATTTTAAAGAAAAGTCTGTACCTTAAATCCATTTTGATTAATGTGCAAGTTCCTATTAAATGAGTATCGGGTATCCAACAAGTGTTCAATAAACTCACGGAATTTTTGCGAATACAGCCTGGTACAGGGTATATCCAAGTTATTTATCTAGCAATTGTTTATCAATGCAAGTGAACTAGTTAATGTGACATTTTTTTTCCTGTGTAGCTCTTGTATAAAATTCCGGTCTAGTCCATTTACTTGATAAATTAGCTGAAGCAGTTTTAAGTCAAGTAAAATACACACAAAATGCAGCCATATGCTTGGACATATGTGCGAGTTGGTGTGTGTGTGTGCGTGTGCGTGTGTGTGTATTTGAGTGTATTTTAGTACAGCGAAATGGGTTTGCGCACTTAATTGACTGTGAAATGTGCAATCTTTAAGTTAATAATCGGCCAAGAAATGTGTGCGTATGTGTGTGGAGCTCAAAACAAGCGTTACAAGCATTATGGACAATAACAACGTGCATTAAACTAATATAACATGTGCACACACTAGTATTTAGTATTAGTTACACGAAATATGAACAATTCAAATAAAACAATAGCAAATGTATTGAGTTGGCAACAAGACCAAGAACAATGTGGCGTATGCGCAACGTTGCAAAAACAATAAGTAAACAAGTCGAATTATGTACAACAAACTAAACAACCTGATCAACAACAACAATTGCTGCAAATGTTCATCAGTGAAGCGCAAACGCCAACTACTCGAAATGGGATACACAACTGAAGCCAATGGACGCAACAGCCGTTTTGTTGTTGTATTTGTTGTTTTATTGTTTATACATGCCACATACATACACACACACATACATTCATACAATCATTTTGAAACAACATCTGAGGGAGCAGTAACATCACAAAGTCCGACGACCGCTTCGGCTCAATTATATGTATATAAAAATATAATATGGGCCTTTTGTTTTGGACTTGAAATTGGTATAGTCGGAGTGAAAAAAAGAGCAAGAAAAACAGACAGAGCGACAGACAGGCAGACAGCGGATTGAGCTTCAGTTGTGATTCATAGCTCTATTGTTGGTTTTTGTTTTTGTGTCAGTGAATGCAACAATTTGCTTGTGGCCAACGTTGTGTGAATCATTAACGTTATCAAAAAACTTTGCAACGTTTTTACAGGGCATGATAGCCCATTAAAAGGCAACGATACTTATCAGCAAATAATTCAAATATAGCATATATAAATAATAGTGTTACACAGATATTTGTCAATAGGGCACTCGATTTTCTTGTACTTTCAAACTGGTTTATCAGTTGAAAAATTGATGATCTGCTTCCTATATGCATATAAATTAATAGTAAACAAATTTCTTTGAATTGGTTGCAACGAGAGTACATGAAAAACGCACTAAAATTCTTGCAAAATTAGTGTTGATTAACGTTAAGTAGAGTTAGAGCTGGTTACGAGATACTGAGAAGGACAAATCATTGAAATGTGAAGCATGTAAAGCATATTACTTTTATGTTTTCTTCTGAATTTCTTATTAAAGAACATTGCTGATCGATTGTCTAGTTAGTTTTCGGAAGCTGCTAAAATATGCTGTAATCTATTTGCCACTGTCGATGGCGCATGGGCGGGGGCAAGGAGTAGGCGGCCGCCTGCTGACTGTTTGTGTGGAAATGCTTGGTCATAAATTTAAGCACTGCATTTGCGTATGTTGGCCATCGTCGCAGCTGCCAGGATTGCCAGGGTTTCGGTTGAATTTATGTGCGGATTTTTATGGTTTGTTAAATTTTTGGCCCAACAAATGCCAGCCGGAAACATATATCCACTTCGCATTCAACACTTGCAGCATTATGCTGCGGTCCGAGGTCTACGTTAACTATTTGCATTTCATTTTCACAGCCCAGGTGCAAAGGTTGCCACTGAAGGCAATCTCTTGTTCAAGTCAATTGCGGTCCAGACCAACAAATATAGTTTGAAACATTACACTTTGCTTTTGGGCTAAAATGGAATGCTTTCAGTTTTGATTGATCTGGTTTTGGGCTTGGCAAAGAATGCATATGACAGCATTATTGTAATTCCCATTCATTTTCAAATTTTGGCCGCCTGTTAGTCACTCTCTATATAAAATTACTTATTTATTTTTGTATTCCCTCTTCCTTTGCAGATATTATGTAGAACTCTCAACGGAAGCGAACCACAGCATCTTGGGACTGAGAGGTAAGTTATATTAAAACTTGACTGTCTGTGGTCGCTGCAAGTTCTGTTCTATGTGTGCTATTTCTGCCTTTTTCAATTCAATTTAAGACTTTTGAACTAGTTGGCTGACTATTATTTTTATTACTTGCTGTCGCCTTTGTAACTATGTCCCACAAGTTGTACACCAAAAAAGCGCAGTTCGATTTTTGTTCATAGTTACCTCGAAGGAAACTCAAAAGCAAAAGCGAAAATCACAATTTAAATAGCAATTTGAGCTGAAATCAATTTCCGCTTGGCTTTATGAACAAAACTATTTATTTGCTTTATTTGACGGTTTAAATTCAAATTGAATGCAGCAGCAGCAGCAGTTGACTGCAGCAGCAGTAGTTGACTGCAGTTCGCCAGATTTCTAGTGGCAGCTGGGTCGTCTCATCTTTTTGACATTTTGTGTTAATTTTTGAGCTGTTTCTTTGGCAAAGCGCCAATTTATTCAGTCTGTGTTTACCTTTGCGACTTTGACTTGGACTCCAGCTCCTGCCTTTGCCAGCTTTTAATTGTGTTGACAAATGCCCAAAAATGACAAAAATAGTATATATACGATATATATATATATATATATATATATATATATATATATATATATATTTGTGCACGTTTAAATATGGTAAAAATATTACTTGAAATTCTGGACACGTACCAAAATTAGCGTAAAATCAACTAAAGGCAAAATGGCGTACGCCAGCTAAGGCTATGCAGTGCTGGGCAAAGTGAAAGGGGGAGAGTCAATGGGGGGTGGTGTGTTAAAGAAAATCACCTGCTATTGAGCTTTCTGCTTTCCTTTTACTTATATTTTCCGGCCCAAATGCTTTTCGCAATTTGTATTTGACATTTACAAACGGTTTTTATTAGTTCTTGTGTTTGTGACTGTGTGTTTTTGATGTAATTATGGAAAACCTGAATATGGCACACTCTTGATTAATGTGAAACAACTCAAAAATTACTGACACATGTCAATGTTGGAAAGCTTGTTGTCAGGCAAAGTCCTCAAGTTATGCAAAATCATAAAATGGCTAAATTGTGAGTTGCTAACAGGTGGCTTGTCATACCGTTAACTGTGTTGCCGTGGACCTAACAATAGGTCGTTAAAGTCTTCTTATTTAATGAGACTGTAATATATATCCCATGTCCATCAAAGGCAGTGTAAGACTCTGAGTTATGCATACACAAGCTAAAATTACCGAAGATTAAATACTCTTACATTCATATGTATGGCATTCGGCTTTGCAGATATGATAGATGGGAGAATTGTGAAGAGTTTTCTTCCTATAGAGCTATATGCTACGTATGAGAACTTGCAAATGCAACAATATCCTGAATAATTACCCAAGAAATTTTTTATATAAAAACATAATTTTCACCTACTTTTTCAGTGGCAGCTATATGATATAGAGGTACGAGCCGGTAACAAATAGAAGGTTTCATGACAATAGCTTTGAGACTGAAAGCTAAGTATATAAACTTGGCCTGCCCAAGAACATATATACTTTATATTGTCATAATGCTACCTTCTAGGTGTTGCACATTTTCTGTATTGCATTGTAGATGTTTGATTTGGTTTTTCATTTGTTTCCACAAGCTGCATCAGATCACGGAAGTGAACTGCAGACACTTGCTGCCCTTCATGATGCGGCAACGTTGTCCCTGGCACTGCCCCTGGCACTGCCCCTGGCACTGCCGGTTTGTTGGTGCACAGCTTCCATTTGAAAGTGCAGCAACCTACGCGGCAGTTCAGTTTAGTTTTTTCATTAATTTTTATAGTTTGGCCAACCGGCTGGCGAGCACGGAAAGTACGTGCACAGTTTTCCCATTTTCACAACAAGCGACTTCGTCGCTCGCTCATGGCTCTATGTAAGGCCAAAAGCGAGAAACCGAGAAACCAGTTCAAAATGCATTTTCGCGCCGTGTCGGCTGCATAAATACAACCAAAATCAGGCAAACGGCCAAGCGACCGAAAAGACCAAAGCAATACAAAGCAAAGTCAACCGGCCGACCGACCCATGACTGACTATCCGCAGCTCTTCATATGGAAGTGTATACTCTTCCCAACAGTTGATGGTTGATTTTATCATTCAACAAATAAATAAGTGAAATATTTATTGAATTTTCATGGCAGTTAATACTCTGATTTATATATGCATTTTTGGGATGGGGTGCCCGATTTTATGGAATTAAAATCATATGGAAAGTAGCTGGATTTCAGGTTGTATGGGCGCAAAATTGTAATTTTCCTGCAATTGACTTCAAACTTGTTTTGAAAGCTTTACAGAACGAAGAAAAGAAATCAATAATCGAATTCCCGATGGGGAAAAAGTAATTTACAGAAGCATAAAATGAAATGCATGCAATATGTCAGGTTGAGAATACTTTTGCAGGGAATCTGCTGGTCAAGCACACTCGACTAGAGCATTCTTACATTGGTTATGGCGCGCGCTTTGCTGTTTTTGTATTTGGTGTGGCTGCCTTCATTTCTTTTCCATAGCAATTTACCAAATATGTACCTTTCACTTTGAAAATCGTAAAATGTCACAAACTGTTCAATAAAAACACAAATGACAATAAAAATGCGATAAAAAAAAGGCAACCAGCAACCGCAGTAACAACAACAAAAGCACAAAAACACAAAAACAATGCAAGCAATTGCATAAATTAATGTAAATTTATGCGAAAAATTACAACAGCAACAACTACAGTTACAACAAAGAAGAGAGCAGAGTAACGTTTGAACAACGAGTTGTGTGTTTCACATAGCAGAGCTTTCGGTGCACGAGGAGGATGGGTTGTTTGCTGAAAGTGTGTTTCTGGTGAGGGGGGTGTGGTGAGGGGTTCCGCCCGGAGGCATAGGCCTTGTACGTGCAGCTTGAACAGGCAGCAACAGTGGGGAGAGATAGCTATAGATATAGCTATCAGTTCATTAGCGCTGCTGCAATTATTCCTATATATATAAAAAAAACTAGCGGATATTACCCGGCCTTGTCCGGGCTTCAAATGCAAACTCTGGATATCGCAATATCTACTTAATTTTTACACATATCGCCGATAATGAGTATGAAGCTTATTAGATGGAAAACAATGGAAGTTTTACACAACAGTTTTCAGCGCATTTTCCGAGCTTGGATTTTCCCAAACTCTTGAAAGCACTTATCCATTTCCTTTGTGTGTAGATCTTCATTTTTCTACACAGGAGCGTAGGCTTTGGGGAATACGTGAATAAGTTATGATCACAAAGATCATTTTCACTAATTTTCCACACTTGCCAGTGGAATTGTTGCAAACTGGGTCATAGTGTGGATTTACATATATATATAAAGACAATAAAATATAATAAATTCAGTTAAAATTGTTATGCGTTAACTCATGTTTCTTTACCGCGGATGTGATTATATTTATATACACATGTGTGTGAAATTTACGTTAAAAACGTGTTTGAAATTGCCTTCAAGTGGTCAACACTTTTGTTCAGTTTTTATTAGCGTTTTCCACCTTTTCAATGAGAAACATTTCCTAACACTCAACTCGATATCAATCTTAGCTGGGAAACGCATTTTCTATTTGCATATTTTGACGTTTTCGTTTTTATGATATTCAAATGCAGGGCTCGACAAAGAAAAAACTTTAAAGCTCATAAACATAAAAAGCCACATCTTTGCGTTTTATCTGCGTTTCGGTAATTTAAGCAGCTTAGCTTAGCTAACTAGTTGGTTATATAAAATGAATATTTGGAAATGTTTCCCCCTTACATAAATGGCGTGAGAAACGTGTAAAGCCAAGTGGGTGTCATCAAAATGAAACTCAAATTGATTTACCTAAGACCTTCGAGTTTCGCACATTCGCTGCGTTTTATTAATGTAATTAAACGTTTATTTATTGCCGACTTTAGAACTTTGTCCATACTCTTTGCTTAATAAATAAATGCAATCGTAATTTTATCCACATATGATCCACATAGCCATAGTAACAATCGCATAATGAACATTCTCAAAAGTTACCTGTGCATTTCGAAGAGAACTGAAAAAACAAGTAAATGTGCTCTAGTGGGAAATGCCCGACTATTAGATACCCTGACACATACCCCACCGCTAGGCTGCCGTTACAGTTTCATTCTACACCCATACATGTAGAAAAGCACACTAGCATATGTGCGTATGGGAGATGCACTTTGTTTCAAAAGAATATCTTGAAATCGATATTTATCAATAATGGCAAGATATATCGACAGATCGTTTTGTGTGTAATACACGAGAATATATGTATTAAGCTTCAAATCTTTAGCTTTTGCACTGCCCGAGATCGTTACGTTCATAAGGCCAGACATGCGTATATCGACTTAGCTCGTCGTCCTGATCAAGAATTATATAATTTTTCGCCAAAGCCAGCTTTTTCCTGTCACGTACTCAAAACCATTATACCTTATTTGACAATATTCAATATGTTCCAGGGTGTAAACATTTTGAAGACAAGTTGCTGCAGTTGCCAATACCATTGCTGTCTGTTAGCTGAAGACTATTGTGGGTCACAAATCACGTAAACCAAATACGCATTCACACACACCTGCACACATCCATATATGTATATATGTATATATATGCGTAGAATAGCTATAGTCTCTATAGTTTAGAGTCCACAGCACTGCTCTTGCGGCCTGTCAACTCAATCACTGCGCAAAGTAATTCTGAGTCATAAAAGCAACGACGCATCGGCAGCGACAGCGACGCCAACGGGGGCAGCGACGGCAACGACTGGCAACGAGTGCAGTTGGCAATTTTATGCTGGCACACTTGGACGGCAACCGGGGCGATAAAAATGACACATGGAGTGTGCCATGAAACTGCAAAGTAAATAAACTTCAAGATATGCACACACTGCAGACCTATCAAGCGGTAGGCAGTGGGCGGTGGGGCGCACCAAGGCATACTCCAAAGTCAAATTGCATTTGAGCGTCTCAAAAGACGTCTCGAGATTTG